AACCCCAGGCATGCTGGGTTCGCTGCTGGGTTCCACTGAACCCAGCGCCTGGGTTTGATGCCCAGCATGCCTGGGTTCCTTAAGACCTAGCCCTCGGTTCCAAAAAAAAAAAAGAAATTTCTGTTTTCTTTGTTTGGGTTTTGTTGTTTAATGATATGAGAAATTGATTGATGAAGATGAAGAAGGCAAGGCAATCGTTGGGTTTTTGCAGGTGGATGAAGATGAAGAAGGCATAGCTGCTGGGTTAGAAATCGAACCCAACAAGCAATCGAACCTAGCATCAAACCCAGCAGCCGCTGGGTTCCTGCAGTGCTGGGTTCGATTTCGAACCCAGCAGGCACTGTGTTCAAGCTGGGTTCCTGCAGGTGCTGGGTTTGATTTTGAACCCAGCAGGCACTGGGTTCCGTTTCTAACCCATGGATTTGTTGAGTTCCATTTGTTTATTGATCTGTTGAATTCCATTTGTTTCAAACTCAGCAGTCGTTAGGTCGATGGATCTGTTGAGTTCGATCTATTTATGGATTTGTTATCTGTTGTGTTATTCTCATATTCTTGCAGGTGCTAGATTCGATTTCAAACCTAGCAAGCGTTGGGTTTTGTTTCCAACCCAACTGCAGTTGGATCGAAAGATCTATTGATTTCTATCTGTTGGTTTGTTATGTTATTCTCGGATTTAATATTAGGAAATGTTAGGGTTTGCAGAAGGTGAAAGGAAAGGGAGAGGAAGAAGAAAGGGAAAAAGGAAAAACAAAGAAAGAAAAAAAAAGTAATTTCTTAAAGTAATTTCTTGCCATCTCATTTTTTTGCCACGTTGTACATCTTAGGTGTCAAAATGTTTTAACATGTCATCCTTTTCCCTGTCAGGTAACAAGACACGTAAGCGGATATTTAACGGAAGGACCAAATCGGGGTAAAAATGGTAAACAGTAGGGACCAAATCAGGGATTTTTTTAGTTTATGGACCAAATCGGGGTAAAAATGGTAAACAGTAGGGACCAAATCAGGGATTTTTTTAGTTTAGGGACCAAATCGGGGGTCCGTACAATAGTTCAGGGACCAAAAATGGGTTTTAACCAAAATAAAATAAAAAATCCTGGGTTAGTCTGCTTCTGTCTGCCATGGCTCTCTTTGCTTCCATCCCCACTTCTCCACTATCTGTGTCATTACCACTTTGCTGGAAGTTAGCCGGTCCCCGGCGAACACATTTTGGTACTTCTGCTGCAGTAAGTTCATCGTCGTCTCCTGAGTCGTCCGCACCACCATCAGTGAGTGGTGATAGTGTTTTGTCCTCTATACCTGCGTCAAAACCCTTCATTGAATCAAATAGACCGCATGATTCCAGCTTCAACTACGCGCTAGCGAC